AGACCAGTCCTGCAGAACCAAAGCTACAGGATCTCTACAACACAAAGCAACAACATATATATCCCAGAGGGGTCCCAGAGAGGATCTAGTTTTGAAATGTGACAGAAACCAGAGGCCTTGAACTAGATTCATTGCAATGGACATTTGCAAGTAAAGCTGTCTGGACAAAAAAAAGTATACTGTGTGATACACTGAAGCTTCCATGATGATTTTTTTTTTTGTTCTGTTTTATTTTCTTTAGGAGGGAGGTTTCAAGGGCAGAGGGTAGATATTGAGGGACAGTGGATGAGTGGAGTTAGGATGCATGATGTGAAATTCACAAAAAACAATAAGAAGTTAAAAAAATATAAATACATTTGATAATAGCCAGGGCGATATGTGACCACAAAAGCCCAGGTATTCTACTATAATAAGCCCTGGATAGTCTGATATAGCTGAAACACAAGAAAAAGACCTTAAAACCAACTTTACAAAGATGACAAAGGCCCTTAAAGAGTAAATGAATGAATCCTTTAAAGAATTTGAGAAAAAGATAAGAAATTGGAGGAAATGAGAAAAGTCTTTTAAAAAAGCCAAGAAAGCTAATTAAAAAAAAAAAAAAACCACAACAGTTAAAGGAAACAAATAAAATTGTTCAAGACTTGAAAATAGAAGTAGAAGCAATAAGGAAAATACAAACTGAGGGAATTCTGGAAATGGAAAAATCTAGGTAAGCAAACTACAGAGGCATACTTTACCAATAGAATATAAGAGAGGGAAGAGAGAATCTCAGGTGTTGAAGATAAAATAGAAGGAATAGAAAATGGTTAAAGAAAATGTTAAATCCAAAAAAAAAAAATTCCTAATACAAAATATTCATGAAATCTGGGACACTACGAAAAGACTAAAACTAAGAATAAAAGCAAGAGCAGGAGAATATTCCCAGATCAAAGGGCCAGAAAAATATTTTTAACAAAACCATAGAAGAAAAATTTCTTAACCTAAAGAAGGAGACACCTATAAGCATACAAGAAGCTTACAGAACACCACATAGGTTGAACCAAAAAAGAAAATCCTCCCATTAATATTAATTAAAACACTCAATGTACAGAACAAAGGAAGAATATTAACTGCTGCAAGGCAAACAGACTAAGAAACAGATAAGGTAGACCTATTAGAATAACACCTGACTTCTCAATGGAGATTCTAAAAGCTAGAAGGGACTTGATACATGTTCTGCAGACTCTTAAGAGACCACAGATACCAACCCAGACTATTATACTCAGTGAAACTTTCAATCACCATAGATGGAGAAAACAGTATATTCCATGTTAAAGTCAAATTTAAACAATATCTATTTACAAATCCAGCCCTACAGAAGATACTAGAAAGAAACTTCAGCTTAAGGAAGTTAACTATACCTAATAAAACACAGGAAGTAATCTCACATCAGCAAAACTAAAAGAAAGGAACACACACAGTGTCTCTTACACTATCACCACCACCACCATTACAACCACTATCATTACCAGCACCACCATCAAATTAACAAGAATTAACAATTATTGGTCATTGATATCTCTCAATATCAATGGACAAATTACCCCCCCCCCCAAAAAAAAGACAGATTAACAGAATGGATATGAAAATAGCATCCATCTTTTTGCTGTATACAAGCAATGCTCTCAACATTAAAGAAAGACTTTGCCAGGCCACAGAGGAAGAGGATCCAGGCATTCCTGATGAGACTTGACAAGCTATGGACAGATGGGGGAAGAGAGAGAGAAAGAGAGAGTGGGACTAGGAAAAGTTGAAGGAGGGGGCTACAATCGGGATATACAATGAATAAACTGTAAAAAAAAATAAAAAGGAAAAACATTAAAGAAAGACATTACCTCAGAGTAAAGGGTTTGAAAAAAGATTTTCCAAGCAAATGGACCCAAGAAGCTAATGGAGCTATTCTAATATCTAACAAAGTAGACTTCTAATCAAAATTAATCTAAAGAGGTAGGAAAGGACACTTTAACACTCAGCAAAGGGAAAATTCACTACGATGACATTTCAATTCTTAACATTTATGCCCCAAGTGCAAGGGCACCCACATTTGTAAGAGAAACATTAAATCACATATCAAACTGTATACATTAATAATGGGAGACTTCAATATCTCATGCTCACCAATGGACAGGTCATCCAGACAGAAACTGAACAGAGAAATAATGGAGGTAAGTGATGTTATAAACCAAATGGAACATTTCACTCAAATAAAAGAATATACTTTTTTTCTCAAAACCTCATGGAATTTTCTTCAAAATCAAGTACATACTCAGTCACAAAAACAAGTCTAAACAGATAAAAGAAAATTTAAATACCCCCTGTATCCTATCAGACCACCACAAATTAAAGTGGAAGTTTTACAATAATAGAAAGCCAACAAACTCTTGGAAGCTGGACTACACTCTACTGAATGAAAACTGCATCAAGACAGAAATAAAGAAAGACATTAAAGATGTTCTAGAATTCAATGAAAATGAATGCCAAATATGCCTAAACTCATGGGACACAATGAAAGTGATACTAAGAGGAAATTTTATAGCACTAAGTGCCTTCATAAAGGAATTGGACAGAACTCATACTAGCAACTTAACAGCATTTCTAAAAACTTTGGAACAACAACAAAGTAAGCACACCTAAGTGGAGTAGACATCAGGAAATAAACTGAAGGCTGAAACTGATAAAATAGAAACAAAGAGAGCAATTCAAAGAATCAGTGAAACAGTTGGTTCTTAGAGAAAATCAACAAAATAGACAAAATATTATCCAAACTGACTAAAAGATGGAGAGAGAATATCCAAATTAAAAAAAATCAGAAATGAAAATGTAAACATAACCACAGATACAGAGGAACTCCAGAGAATTATTAGGTCATACTTTAAAAACTTGTATGGCACAAAAATAGAAAATTTAAAAGAAATGAATAATTTTTTAAATAAATATCACTTACCAAAGTTAAATCAAAATCACATAAACAACTAAAATAGACCTATAATCCCTAATAAGTAGAAGCAGTCATTAAGTTCCCATCAACAACAACAACAACAGGGACAGACAGTTTTGCAGCAGAACACTCCCAGACTTTCATAGAAAAGTTAATGCCAATACTCCTCAAATTATTCTACAAAATAAAGGGAAAAAGGGGGGAACAGGATAGAAGGGTGGAACCTAGAGGAGAGAAGGGAGGGGACTTGTTTGGGATATAAAGTGAAGAAATAAAAATAATTTTTTAAAAAGCATCTTCTACAAATAGTGCTTGTCTCTCTGGATGTCTGCATATAGAAGAATGCAAATAGATCCATATCTATCACCCTGCACAAAACCCAAGTCTAGGTAGATCAAATACCTCAACATCAAAACAGGTACTGAACCTGATAAAAGAGAAATTAGGGAATAACGTTGAAATCATTGATACATGAGAAAACTTCCTGAATAGAACACCAATAGCACAGGCACTAAGATCAACAATTAATAAGTGGGACTTCACGAAACTATAAAGCTTCTGTAAAGAAAATATGGTAGCTTACAAAATGAGAAGATTTTTACTAACTCTACATCTGATAAAGTGCTAATATCCAAAATATATAAAGAATTCAAGAAACTGTTCTGCCCAGTTCACAAACCCCAAAAGACCAGGAATAAACAGACTCCGCTGTAAATACATGAGGTTCTTTTTATTGTAAATTACAAGCTGCAGCTTGGGCCCACACCCCCCACCGCTGAAGTGGTGGGAGCAGAGAGCGCTGTGCCCAGGTTAGTTGGGTGATTTAAAGATTCTGGTCCATCCCAGCATGCCCAAGGCAGGGGCAATTCCTGCCTGGCAAGCATCTATTGGTCAAAATGCTACATTTTGAATTGATTGGCTATAGGAAGATTCCCAGACCATTAATGATCTGGTGTCACTCCCTAGGGGGATGGGCCAGTTTCCTAGCAACTGTGTCTCTAGTGGGTGGGGAAAGAATGCAGTAAGGTGGTCCTTCCCCTCAGGGCATTACTGTACTTCTCCACCCACCTAGGTCAGACCTTAAATAATAGCTGCTAGTTTTTAATCTTTTGATCTCTCAAAACCAGAAATATATAAAAAAAATCAACAAACAATATAAAATAGTACAATGAAAAAAATGGAGTATAAATCTAAACAGAGAATTCTCACAAAAGAAATCTGTTATGGCTGAGAATCACCTAAATAAATGTTCAACATTGTTAGCCAGCAGGGATATGCACATCAAAAGTAAGTTGAGATTCTACCCTCCAGCTTTCAGAAAGGCTAAGATAAAAAACAAAAGTGACAAGTCATGCTGGCAATGATGTGGAGCAAGGGGAACACTCTTCCATTGCTGGTGGGAGAACAAACTTGCACAGCCACTATGGAGATCAAATTGCAGTTCCTCTGAAAATTTGGAATAGTTCTTTCTCAACACCCAGCTATTCCACAAAGACAATTGCTCAACTATGTTCATAATGGCTGTATTCATAATTTCAGAAACTGGAAACAGCCTAGATATCCCTTATCTGAAGAAAGGATAAAGAAAATGTGGTATAATTATACAATGGAGAGTTACTTGTCATGAAATTTGCAGCCAAATGGATGGACCTAGAAAAAAAGTCACCTCTGTGAGTCAACCCAGACCCAGAAAACCAAACATGATATATACTTACTTATAAGTGGATATTAGCTGTTAAATAAAGGATAATTATGCTATAATCTACAGACCCTAAGAGGCTAAGAAGCAAAGAGGGCTTTGGGAGGGAGGGGCATATGGATCTCCCTGGGAAGGGGAAATAGAACTGATTTTGTGGGTGTTCTGGTGATAGTTGGGGATGGGAAGAGGAAGGATTATGCTGGGGATGCAAGGACAGAGGAGACAAGACTGGAATAGGTAGGTGTTTGGGGGTCTATGTGGAAATCTAGTGCAGTAGAAACTTCCCAGAACCTATGAGGGTGACCCTGGTGAGGACTCCTAGCAATGGAGGATGTGGAGACTGAACTGTCCATTTTCGGTAAGCAGGTAAGTCTTCCAGTGGTAGGTCTGGGATTCCAATCCAGCCACAACACTTTTGACCCACCCCTATCTTGCCAGCAAGATGTGCAGGGTCAATTGTGGGTCAGAGCCCGGGGGAGTGGTCAACCAATGACTGGTCTAACTTGAGGTCCATGCTGGGAGATACTGTCTAGGTGGCCAGCAACTAGAAGCTGAATGGATCAGAGACCTAGGGTAGAAACAAACATGCTCTTGTGCCTAGATCTTAAGGTCCCCAAAGACCACTAGAAGCTGGACAACATATGCAAAAGCAAAGAGCTTTATTTGGGATTAAGCTCAGTCTCTCCATCGTCACCAATGCAGTGGATCAGAGAAGAGAGCTCTCAGCAGCTACATGGCAGGGTTTTTATTTGGGGCTTGAGCAAGAACCTGGAATTCCCAGCTTAGCAGTTACATGATTGGATGATATTCAGCAAGGGCAAGCTTGTTACAAAGTGATTGGCTAACTAACATAACTAACATTGAGAGAGCTATCTGTAGAACTCAGGAATGTTAGGTCGGTAGGCTGCCCAGGACAGATGCCCAACCCTGAGATAAGATACCTTCCCATTCTGTGGATACCCCCAGGCTAGTCCTTGGGTAGGGAATTTTATGGTTTTCTTATTCCTGGAATTGGTGTTATGGCCTAGTTCCTGTGGCTGATGACTTTTTCGGGGAAGGAGTCAGGCCTGGTCCTTTCAATGCCTGGCAAAAACAAACAAATAAACAAGTCAGGGAAATGATTCCTAAAGATATTCTGCTGTACTCTTAGATTGGTGCCTAGCCCTATTGTCATCAGAGAGGCTTCCTCTGGCAGCTGATGGGAGCAGTTTAGAAAACCACAGCCAATCATTAGTCAGAGCTCAGGGAACCTCTTGGGTGAGGAGGAGGGAGGGAGGGATTGTAGAATCCAGAACACCAGGAGAATGTGGGCCAAAGTTCATGAACCCCAAAAGACCAGGAATAAATAGAATCCGCTATAAATACATGAGGTTTTTAAATTGTATGCACATTTGAACATGGGACGCAAACCTCCTGTGGAAACAGGAGAAGAATGCGGCCCCGAGGTCTAGGGGTACAGAGTTTTTAAAGGGAAAAATCGAAAGCAGGGACTTACATGCTTTGGCATTACATGATTGGGTAAGGGAAATTGACTTTTGAAATGATTGGTCCACTTTAAGCGTCAAGACTACAAACAGTTCTGGCCTGGTCATATGAGCCAGTTTCCTAGCAACTGTATTATTAGTGGGCGGGGAAAGAATGCAGTAAGGCTAGTTCTTTCGCTCAGGGCATTACTGGATATGTCTCCACCTTTAAAACAATACCCACTGATTTTTAAGTCTTTGGTCTCTTAAGTATCAGCTAAATAGGGCTCACAGGGGCTCACAGAGACTGAAGCAAAAATTGAGGAGCCTTCATGGGTTTCCATGGCAAGTGCCTTTACCGTCTGAGCTAGGTCATGGATTTACACTAGATCCATTGTATGCATGCTTCGGTTGTTTAGCTTGGATTTTTTGTGGGACTCCTAATAGTGGGACTGGGGGTGTCTCTGACTCTTTTGCCTACTCTTGGGACCATTTTCCTACTTCTGTGTTGCCTTGTTCAACATTGATATGAGAGTTTGTGTCTATTTCTATTGTATCTTTTTATGCCATGTTTGGTCGATATTACTCTTTTCTGAAGGGAAACAGTGGCAGTGGATCTGGGAGAGGGAACTGGGAGGGTTGGAGGGAGGGCAGGCTGTGGTTGGAATGAATTTTATGAAAGAAGAATAAATTAAAAAATAAAAGCAATGGCATAAACTTTTACGTCAAAATGAAACAGAACAAAACACTCCCTACCCCCGAAAGAAAGAAGAACATAGACTTTTTGGAAAGAACTAATTTTTAATTTCAGACTTTCAGTATAATTACATTTAATTCATGTGAGGGACCAGCCCAACTCCATCTTAAAGATGGAAACCATTTTGTTACAAGGTCTGAACAAGTTATTTTCTGTTTGCTGCAAAATTCAAATTGACTGTGCTTAACTTGTTTCTGGAATTTGACATGTTCCCCACTGCATGGCATTTGACTCACATCTTGAAGGGACCCTGATAAGATATTCTGCCAAATCACTCTGAAATGTTCAGCCAAGTTTCTCTGTAACCAAAATTCCTCTGGAAATCACCCAACCCTTGAGAATCCCCTGGTCTTGCAGGTCTTTTGGACGATATAAACCCTACCATTCCCTGTGTTCAATACTGTATCTTCAAACCCTGCTTTAGGGAGATAGCCTTGTATGAGAGAAAAACAAAACAGAACAAAACAAAACAAAAACAAAAAAAACAAAACCAAACTTGCTTAAATTGACCAAAGAATTTAGGTAATGGTCTTTACTCTTATTGGGTGGGATTAACAGGTGTAGTTAGTGGCTAGCTCAGATTGGCAGAGTTTAGAAGGCTGGATGGCCCCAGGCTTCAGCTGTATGGGGAAGGTACAGAGACCCTCATTCTGCTGCAAGAGAAGAAGCTTGTGTGTAACTATCTTAACAACAACAATAATGATAATAAATAATAGTGTGTATGAGCATATTTATTCCAAGGCTCACATGTGGAGGGCAGAGGGCTGGTTCTCTCTTTCTACCTTTAAGTGGGTCCTGCAGATTGAAAGAATCAGACTAACTTTGTAACCTATGTTTCTTTTAATTGCCTTATAACTTATATTTGCAAGTTTTAGGCCCATGTTAATTAAAGCCTCTTAGTGCTTCTCCAGAGAACCGAGGAATGTAAAAGTTCCTGACATTAGCCATCTGTGAGGGCAGAGATAAGGAAGAGAACAAGCAGAGATCTCTACTAAATGGAGAAAAAATCACCGGCTGGCGCCGGTGAGATGGGCTTTGTTTGGAAACTGGGCCAAATGGCCCCAATCCTTCTCCTGACCTTTGATCCAAAGCCTGTAACCCCCACTCCTCAGAACAGACATGGGATGAGTTAATCACCCTCCCACATTTAACTGTGGATGGCAGGAAATTCCAAACTGACTTGACGATCAGATATTTACGACAGGGCTGACTGGACCTAAGGGTGACCAGAACTGACCAATTATTTTAAAAGTTAAACATTTCATCCAATCCTAAATTGCCAAGAAGGCAATGCCAACAGATTCCCGCCTTGTGTCTTTTAAAAACCCAAGGTCTTTGTCTCCCGGGGCCACTCCTAGCTGACCAGCAGGGGTGACCCCATTGTACAATGGTCAAGAAGAGTCTCTTGCGTTTTTGCATCGATAGATGATTAGTTTCCTGAGTTCTCTTCATACCTTCTTATATTTAAGCTCATGCTGGGCCTAAGAAGATCAAATCCAGATCATTGGGTTTGCATAGCGAGTGCATTTACCCTCTGAGCTAGGGATCAGATGCAGGTCATCAGGTCTGCAGCAAGCACCTTTACTTATTTAATTATTTGGTCAGCCGCCAGTGTGTGTCAGTTCTTAAATGCAATGTGACATTAAGTAAAGTAGACTTAATAATTAAGATCTGGTAATTCTTTCCTGGGTACATAGCAGTGTGTTGCATACTGGGATTTTGAAATGTATAACAGGTACTTGTGAAAAGAGACTGTAGGAGCCTGGAGGCCAGCATGGGCTTTGATATGCAACCACAGGTATATGTCAATGGAGAGCCACAGCTCCATTTTGCCAAGGCAAGGGGGATGACTCCCTTGGTAGACTGGAACTGTTTCTCAAGTTCCTGAGGAATGCTGGCTTTTATCTAATCACCAGAAGTCTTTCTGTTGTCCAGCTGGAGCTGGGCCAAGGCAGTTATTTCTGGACATATGCAGCACTGCCCTTTGTAGTTTGGAGAACTGGAATGTCCTTTGGACCTGTCAGTAAGAAGTCAGACCTATGAAGCTTGGACTAGCCTTTCCCCAGGGACTGATAGGGATTTTATGGGCATCTAGGACACAGGTTGTGCCCCTCCAGGCAGACAGATGGCTGACATACAGCTGGCAAGAGGAGATAAGCAATGGCTTTAGGAGCTTGTGTGCAAGTCATCATACTGAGGAGACAGTCCTGTTTTGATGACTCCTAATTAGGAAAGTTGGGACTAGTAGAAGCAGGGAGGAGGAGAGTTCTTCCCCCTCATTGCATCCTATGCCTATGTTCCAGGCATCCACAACTTCCCTGCTTGGCCATACAGCTAAGGGCTTGGCTGTAGAAACATGTCTCCAGTCTCACCTGTTTTCTTCTGTATTGGTGAGTTCTAGGGGTTAGCCTGGGAAGTATTTAAAAACAATCCCCATGTACAAAGGAATTAAAATCACCTTGTCAGTGCTGAATTTCAGAACAAGAATGGGAATCTATGAGGTTCCATTTGTTGGGAGGGAAAAATTAGAGATGCAATATGTTTGATTTAATTGTTTTAAATTGCTTTGGCTTGGTCAGGACACTTGAACATGTGTTCCAGCACTGGCCACATTTTCCCCTTCTATACCAGAAACATCAAGGCTTTCTCTCTCTTCCTTCCTTTATACCTTCTTCTTCTTCTTCTTCTTCTTCTTCTTCTTCTTCTTCTTCTTCT